TTAAGTTAAAAATGCAATTAATACACCTAACCTACTAACCATCATAGCTCAGCCTCACCTACCTTAAACATGCTCAGAACACTTACACTAGCCCACAGTTGGGCAATTATCTTGAATTCGATCTGAAGAGCAATTGCTTCTTCTCAACAGAAGCAGGAGACACAGATGTACATTTTGTAGATGTAACAGAATGAGAAAACACAAAGACAATACCTAAAAACACTGGCAACACAGCACACGGGAGAGCATCGGTGGTTCACCCTCATCATCCCCTGGCTGACGGAGCTGCGGCTCTCTGCCACTGACCAGCATCATAAAGGTACCGTGCAGCACATCGCTAGCCCAGGGAAAGATCAAAATTCAATGGACGTTTTCTATTGAATTTGTATTACTTTCACGCCATCGTAAAGTCAAGAAATTGTTAAGTCGAACCATCATAAGCTGGGGACCATCTATATATCGCTTACATAATTAAAAATATACTTAAGTAAAAATATTTCTCTAAACAGAATATTGATCTACAGAAGTCATTCCCTTGAGATGTACTGCATAACTATCAGTCGTCAATTCTCGTTATTCGTGATAGTTATGTTTTATAAAGTCACTGTGAACATGAATTAGTGAATAATTGCTCTTAGGGAAAATACAGGGTTAGGCTGCTGCCAGTATTCATCAACTGATCAACACATACATAACCCTGCTTCTGTTTAAAGGCAACTTACTTAATATCTATCGTCGATTAACACTATACTCACCGCCAAAAGCACGATAACTTATACCGGAACCAAACTTATCTAACACAGGTATTTTCTCCATAAGACACATTACAGTCTTCTTGTGCTTAAGAACTGTGGACAAACATTTCAGCTCTCTGTGGGAGGCCATCCTAAACAGAAAATCATCAACAAAAAGCACAAAAATGCAGAAAACAGGCACGAAATCATCTGTGAAAGGGATACCTTTTTACAGTATGAGAGCTGAAACACGAATGCGGAGCGTCATCTTGTTCAACACCAGCTGGGAATATGCATGTGAGGTGACTCGAAATTTCAGCCACTATGTACACACCCACAAATGACCATAAAAGAGCCTCGATTATTGATTTGGGGGTTACAAATAAATGATTGACTGTACATACATTCTTATAAGACAGACCTACAATAAAGAATAAAGGAAAACAAAGATGTTTACAGGGAATCAACTCATCTTAGAAGTTGAATTAAAGAAGGACAAATTCTCTCCTACAAACTATCCTTTAGGTAACTCTAAAGAGAGTTATGACAAGATTTTATCCAAAATAAGAAGTCCAGTCAAACTGATCCAATTCTGTAAGGAAATCTGCACCAGGAAACAAGTAGCAGAGAACAGCATCCAAGGGCTCAATGACTAATTGCTCTGGCTTTATCTGGCATTTAGAGCAAGCTAACCCATCATCAGGCTCCAATACAGGAACCATCTTCACACTGGACACAAAGTCAGGAAATCTAAGAGCCAATTAGGCTAAAGATCTTAAGGAAAAAATCTCCATGCTATATTCATTTTCCATGCAAAAAAAAAAAAATCAAAAAAACCTCTGGGACATTATGACAAGACCATCCTTATTACTGAAATTGTCATCCTGCCTGCCCCCGGTCTAGAGCTTTTTACATTCAGGCTCACTTCCACCCAGGCCAAAAGCCAAGGTCAGGGCTGCCAGAAGGGACATTCATTCCCACTACTGACAAGGCTGGAGATTGTCAGCAGCCTTCAATCCAGGCTCACCTTTCCTGAAGCTACCATCTTCTACCAGCCTGGCCCTACCTCCTATGCTCTAAACTGGCAAAGTAGCCCCTTGAAATTTGAAGTTGGACATGTCCTCCTTTTTCTGGGTCCCAGCCAAGAACAAAGACAAAGTAAGCCACTTGTCCCACTAAAGAGGTGAGAGCACCCTATGCTGGAAATATGACCAGTGATTGCTGGTGACTTTTTAAAATGAGCAAGTATAATGTTCAAAACACTATTGTTTAAGAACTTGTATTCTTAGTCTGTTGATGTTACAAAACACAGCTTGTGTTGCACAATCTCTTTATTTGGTGAAATGTTCTGAAAAATGCCCTAAATATTTGAGGAACCTGAACAGACCACCAACTGAAACCAATGATTCAAACGAAATGTCATACTTCATAAACTTCTCTTCATTTAGTCCTCATGTTAAACAGAAAAATCAATGCTCTAGCAAGAATGCAAAATGATATAGCCGCTGTGGAAGACAATATGGTAATTCCTCAAAAAATTAAACATAAAAAGGCCATATAGTCCAGCAATTCCTCTTCTGGTAGTTTACCCAAAAGAACGGAAAGCATGGATTCAAAGAGATATTTGTACGTTCATGTTCATAGAGGCATCATTTGCAATAGCCAAAAGGCAGAATGGATAAATAATACACGACATATCATTCAGCCTCCATTAAAGGAGTTAAATTCTAACACACATTACAACATGGAAGAACCTTGAAGACATTATGCTATATATATGACATCAGCCAGATACAAAATGATAAATAATGTGTGATTCCACTTATATGAGGTACCCAGAGTAGGTAAATTCATAAAGACAGGAAGCAGAATAGTGATGCCTGTGGGGAGAGGGGATCTGGGAGTCAGTGTTTAATGGGTACAGAGTTTCAGTTTGGGAAGATGAAAAAGTTCTGGATGTGCATAATGGTGATGGCTGCATAACAATGCGAATGTCCTCAATGCCACTGAATGGTATACTTAAAAAGAGTTAAAATGGTAAATTTTATGTTATGCTATTTTACCACAATAAAAAAAATGATCAAAAGCCAAAAGTAATTTCACTGAAGCTGTGCAAAGGTAAACAAGTGGCAAGTCATTTTTATACATGATACATCCCACAAGGTCATTTAATATTCTAAACTATGACTATGAGCTTAGCAGCCAATCCATTTATAACACCCAACGTGATTTCCTCCCAGCATGGGAGATTAGAAGGTGGGGCCTGAGCATAAATTGCACATGTTCACAAGGGGACATTCAGAGCCACACTGCAGCCCCAGCTTTTCTCTAAGAAACCAGCCCACCTGTGATGAAGTATCTTATTTCTTTACCTTGGCAGGATTCTGGAGACAAGGCATGAGGAAATCTGTCTTTCCCATATTTCTAGAAGTTCAGGTTACACCTATGGTTTAACCCAAGCAATTCTTGACTTCGTAAAGGGCCAATTCTTTTTGGGTAATCAAGCCAGCAAATTAATACCTTGGGGAGGTGTTTACATGAGCCAAGTCAGATCACATTTCCCAAAGGCAAAGTTCCAACGTGTCAGCGAGAAGAGGAAGAAAAACAGGTGGACAACAACTCTCCTCACAAAGCTTTATTCGAATCCTCACCTCGAACCTGACTTCAGTGTTCTAGGCTTTCAGAGTGGAGTGCTCGTGCAATTTCCTATTTATTTATGGGAGCTAAATATGATCTGGAAATACAAATCTAGCTAATTTATAGAGAAATCTGAGTATTCTCCTAAATAGCAGAAGGGAGTGCAAGAGAACAAAGGTGATGAAGATGACAACAACAATGAAGGCCCCCTGACCGAGAGCAGAGGCATCGCTAGCATTTCCACCTCACAGAAGAAGAAATCAGCTTGCCTGCAGCAGCCCCGCCACAGGCAATGAGATGCCAGGCCTCCAGAACTCACACAAGCCCAAGATGAGTAAGACTCTGCTCAAAGAAAGATGTGCAGAAGACACCTTACATTTTGCAGGGGGAAAAAAAAGTATTCTCAAGAAACAAGCTCTAGATAAGTAGCAACTAGGTAAAAGAAGCAATACTTAAATCGCTGAATTTTATCTCCAATGAGGATTTTTTAAATAAAAATTGTATATATTTAAGGTACACGACATGATGTTTGATATACATATATATTGGGAACCGATTACTATAGTGTATGTTTGTGTATGTGTATGTGTGTGGTGGGAATGGTTAAGATTTACTCTCAGCAAATTTCAAGTATATAATATAGTTAAATAAATTTTTGTATTTTTAAAGCAAACAGCCCTGGGCAAAGAGATATATATAGGATCAAGTTTCTAAAAAGCTCTTCAGCTCCTGACCCTGGTATATATTGGCAACTTCTTTGTAAAGACACCTGAAATCCTACTCCTTTTACAGTAGTTAAGACCAGGGTAAAACTATGGGATACATTTATGGCATTTCTCAATACAAAAACAGTGAACACATCAAATCAGTCTTCTTAAAATTGTTATCACACATACTAATGAAAAAATACTGTATAATAACTTGAATGAAAAGCAACATAAAATAGATGAAACCATAAGTTCTCTCCAAAATTACTGAAATGTAAAATTTAAAGTTTTATACCAAACGTCGAATTTTTTCTTGAATATTATTTAAAATAACCATAGCTATAGAATATTGTGAGTGTGTCTGTATCTGGCTTCCATTTATATTTTCCTTTACTTAACAAAATTATATCGAACATAAATAAATGGTTCATTTAAAAAATATTATCATTCCCTTTCTCTAATACAATCAATCTTTTCTCCTAGATTTAAATTTATAGACCCAATCTCACTGACGGTCACTTTTAAATACAAATTTGAAATAAAAAAAGCTTTTAATGAACAATAACAGAAGTTCCATAAATATAACTATGAGATTGAGGCATAACACTGAAAAATTTTCATGCCTAAATCAATTTAATAGTTATTTTTGATACTTATTTCTTAATTAGATTTCAATATAAATTTAGTATTTTACAACCACATGTGACCAGATTTTATCAAAGCAGCCCTGACTTAATCTCAATAGAAAACTCATTATATATTGATAAAATTGCTTAAAAAAAATAAATAAATCTGATGCAAACAGTGAGCTTCTCTGGTAAGGTTTAAATGGTTCAATTTATAAAATTTTTAGGTTACACAGAACTTTCCAAAAATGCTTCTAATGCTTCAGGTGCACACTTTCATACCAAAAGACACTTACCTTCCGATAAATCATATGGCACATGGCTACTCTTAACCTCATCCCAGCACACTGGACATGATAAAAGTACAAGTGGTGCAGTGTGGCCAAAATGAGCGTGCAAACAGACAGCACCGTGACATAGGCGTAGGCTTCGTGCAAAGTCACAGAATTGGTGGGATCATAGTTTTCAAAATAACGAATAATTTTCCCCAAAAATATGGGCTGGACTACTCTGAGGCCTTCCTAAAAAGAGAGAAAAAAGCCTTAATTAGAAATACAAGCCACACCGGTTTTCCTCAACACAGCTTTACTTTTATTATTAGCATATAAAAAAGGCATTATGACCAACTGCTACATTTGTCACTAATCTAAAAGGAAAATAGGACTACTTTCTTCTTTATGACAAGCAGATAGTTGTTCTAGCTTTAAGCCAAAATTATAAGTTCAAAGACAAGAAAGCTTTAGTACATTGTGTTTGGTACGCTGTGGATGCTTGATAAATATTACAACCAGTGCTTTAGAATGCATTTGGCAAAATAGCAATTAAATCTTGGCCTAAGATGAGTAAGGAAAAAAGTAGCAAAACAGTAAGGAATTTGCTTACATATGGACAGCCTGTTTCCTCTGTACTCTCAACATCCCAGCCCAAAACAAAGTTAAGAGTGGCTCATCTATGGAAGGCACACTCTTGCCACCTCCTTCTGCTTTAAGAGCCTTTACAAACTGAGATATTGGCACAAACACAGATCAGAAGGGAAAACCTTACAATCTTTCCCAACCCAAATTCAACATGTCAGTAGATCAAGAGAACAGAGTCCAGCTTCCGTTGGGATATTAAAAAGGAATTATTAAAGTATTAAAAAAACCAGGATTGGGAAGTTCCCAGGCTTTCAGCCCCAGGGGGTATTACTTTAATTTGTCTCTACACGCCAGAAGCTGGGATGTGCCCAGAAGTGCTGCCTCCTTGGAGTCAAAAATTAAACAAGGCAAAGTCAAGCTATAAAATAATGTTGTCAGTGGTTCCCAATCAGCCATACATCCAGGGCAGGTGCTGACTACTCCCCAAGGCAAAAAGTGAAATCCTGCATCAATGAGATGGGAGTCCTTGGGCTTATCTTCTAAATAAGATTTAGGAAAAGCATTTGTCTTCCCCAAGATTAAAAGCAAAGAAACAGCGAAACTTGCCCCTCCCTGACAAACGAACATTCCACCCCATAAATTACTTCCTCCTTTGGAAGGTAATCCTTCTTCCATCAAAAAAAAAAAAAAAAAAACACTCAATGAAAAATGCAAGTCACCAAAAGCAAATACGTAGGCCCTCAACATCATTTTTTCCACGAACTTCTCAAAAGACAAATGCCAAAAGTCTGGAAATCTTTCAAGAACTCAACTTTGAAACAAGCATTTCCTTTTAAAGAATCTCTCCTTATTAATACAGATATGGCAAACAACTGACAGGTTTGACAGGTTTACTTTTGATAGCTCTTTCCCATCTGTCCGAAGTAAGGAACTCATGCACAAAAGGGAGGGAGAATCCAGAAAACGAAACATGAAACAAAACTAACGTGCATTTTCTTCTCAACCAACTAGTGCCCTATCAGGATATTTATGGCAAGATGTTCCTGTCCCTCAAATGGGTGTGACATTAAACCCCAGTGATACTCCTGTCCCACTGTATGTACGTGCACACACACGTTCACAGGCTTCATCAACTGCCTCATCTTCCAAGAGATCACAGAAGTTTTCATCTACTATATAGAGGTAGGAAAAATTGTTTAGTTGAAGAATTATGAGTAAGATAATCACAAAGGCTCATTGTTACATTTCCATCATGCCCAATCATTCACCCCAACGAGCACTAAGCGTTTACAAAAGAGTAGTAAAACAGACTTTAATAAGAGTTTACTGAGATGAAAAGCTGGAGGCTTACGCAGAAAAGCAAGAACGTCAAACTGTACACATGGGCCGTCCCATCCCAGGTGTGGCCAAGGGCAGCCCAGGGAAGCAGCATGCAACCTTGGGACTATACACCAGCTCAAAGGTAATACCTGCCATATCAAACTTTCCTAAAACTTATGATTGTCTGTGGCAGTCAGTATTGCCTGTTACTCAGCAATCCATTTGAGCCTAACATGTATATAATTACAGGAGAATGTAAGAGTGATGTCATCGATCAGAAAGAATACTAATAGATGCAACAAATCTAGCACAAAATGAAGGTAGGTCACTACCGCCTAAGCTCTGGACTTTTCTGCAGACAGTATTTAATAGTAGAGTCAAGCAAATAGGCTCAAATGTAATGCCAGTTCATGGCTCATACCTTCCCATTCATCTGTCTATTCTTGATCTTAACTCTCAACTAGTAAAAGGAGTAACAATTGAGAAAATATGCATAATCGAACTTGAAATTGACCAAATTAAAGTCTTCTGGATGACTATCACTAACATTGCTGTATGATATATAGGAAAGTTATTGAAAGAGTAAATCCTAAGAGTTCTCATCACTGGAGAAATTTTTTTTTCTTTTATTTTTTTTATATGTATAAGATGGATGTTCACTGAACCTAATGTGGCAATCGCTTTACAATACATGTAAAATCAAACCTTCATGCCATCCACTTTAACCTTATACAGTGATATGTGTCAATTATTTCTCAATAAAACTACAAAAAAAATTAAAAGTTCTGGATAGTAGGAACAAGGTCGAAAGTTATGCAAACACTTCATCTTTGATACCAATCTATGACCTGGTGAAGATTCTTCCCACAAACCAACTGAGAATACAGTCCTTATTCCTTCACAAGAATTCTTGTTAACTGAGAAATAAGGGATTTTTAAAAGAGCCCAATATGATACCACAATGCCCCATGGTTCAAAGTTCCACCAGAGTCTGAGTCTCGTTTTTTTTTTAAATGCCAGTTTATTTATATTTTTTCTTACTATATATACATAATTTTTAACATTTATTTTTTTTATTTTCCCCCTCCCTCTCCCCTCCATCTGGTAACCACTAGTCCATTGTCCATGTCCATAAGTCTCTGTTCATCCTGTTCATTTGTTGCTTTTAGGTTTATACCCCACATATGTGATATCATGTGACTTTCAACCTTTTCTGTCTGGACCATTTCGCTTAGTATGTTATTTCAAGGTCCAACCATGTTGTTGCAAATGGCAGCTCTGTTCATCTCTTCTTATAGCTGAGCTGAGAGTCTTTAGGGCAGATATTTCTTAATGGAATATTGGCATTCAGCCTCTTTATAGCAACTGACATGTGGGCCCCACCCCCTTCTTCTCAGGGTAACTTATTACATGACTGGATGCTAAAACCTCCCCAGTGGGCAGTTTCTCCACCATGTTTCCCCATATACTTGAAATGTTTCTTGTCCAACTCTACCACTCCTGACTATGAGGGAAAAAAAAGAAAATATAGGAAATAGAAACAAGCTATCGGACAACAAAAAAGAAATGCTTGAGTAAAACATATAAGCATAAAAGAGAGAGCTCATGGGGAAAATGTGTAGATGGTCAATTTTTAGAAATGCAGGAATAGGCTGAAGAAGAATTTCCATTCAAAAGGCTAATCAGCTCTCTGTTCTGCTTCTATAAATATGCTTGTTGCATGGGCTGTACTCGAAATTGACTAAAGACTCACCTTCCCTTTTGTTTGATCTAAGCAACAAATGTAACTGTTTGTACCCCCTAGCAACTCCCCCCTCTTTGTAACACTTTATAACTGCTGGTAACCCATAGCAACTCCCACCCTTTGTAACACAATGTAACCACCTGCAACCATAGCAACTCCCGCCACTTTATAACTGTCTGAGGACAAATTAACCAGTCAGCCTGTGCCAAAAAGAGTCTGTATAAGGAATGTTGCAACTGAGCTCTGGGGCCCAGATCTTCAGATCCCAGATCTCCTCTGGGATCACTGGCATAATAGAACTGAGTTCTCCAATTCTCTGAGTGCTGCTTGGTTTCTCATGGGTCTAATTTTGGATCTTTTCTGCAACAAGGTGACAAGGGTAGAGCTGAGAAAGATCCAGCGATAAGGAAGAAAAGTAGTGAGTGAGTCTGGGGAAATAACCATCAAGATTCTAGATATACCTTAACTCCTCTTTTAATCAGGGGTCATCATCCTCACTGCACATTAGCATCACTTGGGAGGTATTAAGGACACACTGATGCCCAAGGCCCAGCATCTAGAGATTGGTTTAGGTTCAATTGATTAAGAATAAAGTTTAAAAATCCCTTACCCTGAAAGATTTTGGAGAGCAGAAACTAACCCCATGTGAGCACCTGCTATCCTCCTCTCCATCATGGCATCTGAGCCTGGCAGGTCCACAGACCTGCTTTGAAGGACTTACAAGTACTATGAAGGGTTTTAATCAGGGTTACATGGCACATATCATGCTCCTAAGAAAAACCCTTATGAACCTGAAGTACTGAGGCTCGGAGGAGGAAAACTATCCATTCTCCATTCTGCTCAGTAGAAAAAATTAAATATATTTAAAAAAGAAAAAGAAAAAGATCATAATTTCTTTTTAAATTTACGTCCAAAAAGAAAGAGGAAATAGTAGAAGGAACAAGGACAACAGTCTTTAATAGCCTCGTCTGTTGATTTGGCTTTGGAACCAAGGACACTATACAGAATTACAAAACAAATTTTTAAAAAGTAATTCCTAAAATTTCAGAGTAAAATGAAGCAGATGTACCTAAATATATACTCATGCAAACCATACAAAAAAAGAACAATTAAAAGTGGTTTTAAACAAATAATTTGAAAATATATCCCCTGTGCAATATACCTACCTACCCTAAAATCAATATGAACTGCAAAAAAATCTTAAATTTTTTTTGTTAGTGATATTATGGGTGATAGTGTTGATACTATGAGGTAAAACAAATAAGTAATTATGTTTTCATTGAGAACTGGGATTAGGCATGGGAGAAAAGAGATACAGACATACATAACAGATAAAGGTGTAAGAGTAATGAGATTCAGTAAAAACACTAGTGTACTGAATATGATTTGAAATGTAAATACCCATATACACTCATGATATGTTTACCTTTTAAAAAATGTATTCTAGCTTGATCTAATCAAAAAGTTGAGAAACAGTGATCGATTCACCAGCAGTGAGTACCTCTAGTGCCTAGACTATAGTCTCTAAACACCATTTCCCAGTCTACGGCCATGCCACCATGAACGTGCCCAATCGTGTCTGATCTCGGAAGCTAAGCAG